GATTGATTGATTGGTTCATTCAACTTCATTGGTTGATGGATTGATTGATTGATTGATTGATTGATTGATTGATTGATTGATTGATTGATTGATTGATTAATGGATTGATTGATTGATGGTGTGATTAATTGATTTCTGTGGACAGATGGGAGGATGGGGATATAGAGTGGAGGAGGGAGAGCGTTGAGGGGTAGGGGGTGGACTGGCTTTAACAACTGCTGTTTTTGTTTTTTTTTGTGATTGTCTGTGAACAGGATGACCGAAAACCACAGCGAGTCCGTGAAGAAGCACTTCACGGAAGTGGGAATTCGTGGCAAAGCTGAGAAGGGAAACAAGAAGCGCTGTACACCCCCCCTGTGTCTTTTTTTTGTTTTGTTTTGTTTTGGGTCCGGACATTTTCTGACCCCCTGGCACTGGTCTGGACTGTCCGGTGTCCGTTAGTGTCCGGTGTCCGGTACTGTCCGGATTACCGGACAGTCCGGACTGGTCCAGACACTGGTCCGGAATATGGTCCGGAAGTGTCCGGTGTCCGGTGTCCGGGTTCGCGGTTACCATGGTTTAAAGTTTGGACCTCCTTTACAGCTGCAACTTTAAGGTTTTAGGGTTGAACCACCATTACGTTGGACCCTTCTGTGGTGCGCTGACAGTTTTTCCACCATTTAATTGTAAAGTAATATTTTATTTGCTTTTTATCTGATTTGATTCTTAGAGTCTTAGAATAATAAATGCAAGGAATATGAGTGTGAACGATATACAGAAAACCAAGTTGCGAAATCACACAGATGTCCAGGTAGTCGTGTCCAAGCAGAGAGTACAAAATGCACCGAGAAACCGTCCATATAGAGCAATACAATAAATTAATGAGCCAATGTCCAGGTCGGAGACTACAGTTGAGGGCCTGGGCCCTTTTCAGTTGGGCACGGCCTGAGTCTCCCGGCTTGGGCTGTTTGCTAAATCCGTGCAGGGCTCCCAGGTAGCTGTGTCGGCAGTACTGCTTTTCCAAAGGCCGATGGCCTGCTTCCCAGTGTATCGGCCCTGCGTTGTGTGTATGTCCCCGGGCGCAACTGTCAAGGCCTGGGCCAACTGTACGATGCAGCTTAGTGAGGCTCACGCGTCTACCCAACCAACTGGCGTGCTACGAGAGCTTGAATACCCACATATGGAAATGTCGAATTTTGGCCTTTGACGAATATTCAGGCCCGCCTTCACTTAGGACGGGCACTCGGCTTGCTGGGGCCTTAGCCCAGAACATATGATGTCTGATAGGGCCCCTTGAGGGCTCGTTCCTCACATTCCATCCGCCTTAGCTTCGAAAGTCCGTTGAGATGCTTCATGCTGGTGCCTTCCCCTTCAGTTTCTTCTCATAATCTGCTACGATCTGAGGAGTTGTCTTGACAAGGTCCTCCCTTGAAATCCATCGATCTTCCTTAGGATCAGTATGATGCCTGAAATGTACTATGTACTCCCTTGCAGGTTTCGGAGGTCTTCCCCTGCCAGGTGGCTTGGGAACAGGCGTGTCTCTGTGATCCAGGATGTCGTCGACGTCCACGTGGCCATCCATGGTCGGGGGCAGCATAGATCTCCGTGATGGGAACTGTGCTGTCTCAGCGAAAGGTGCAAGCTTGGAGGCGTGAAAAACAGGGTATGTGCGTAGGTGACCAGGGATACGAATGACGTACGAGGGACCATCCAAATCATTCCCCACAATGTCTAAGACTTCTCAGGGACCGAAATACTGAGGCATTAGTTTCCTAGAGATGCCAAACTCTTGTCCTAACTCACTAGCCTTGACCCAGACACGTTCCCCTACCTGAAATGTGGACTGTCGGCGACTTTTGTTCTCAGAAGCAATCATAGCTTCCTGAGATTTCTTGATGTGTTGGACAGTCTGCTGCAACAATTTCTCATAATGGACACCAAATTCAATGGTTCCAGGAGTTGCAGCAGTTCGGTTTTCAAGCAGGAGGAAGTCTAGAGCAGATCTAGGCTGCCATCCCAGATGTAGTTGATTAGGACTGACACCGGTGGTGCTTTGAACAACACTGTTGTACAGACTGGCGATGAGAGGTAATTTCTCATCCCAGTCGTCCTGGTTGGGCTTGATGTACTGCCTCAGCAGATGTTGCACCACACGGTTCATCTGTTCAGCCTGCCCATTTGCTTCGGGATGATTCCCAGAAGTCATCTAAAGCTGGCTGCCCATCTGTTCAGCGGCCTTCTTCCACATCTCGCTGGTGAAACGCACATCTCTATCACTAACGATTGTCTTTGGCAGTCCAAAGTCACACACCCAGTTGTCCAAGAACAACTTAATGACGTGCTCAGTCCTGGCAGTCTCTGCCATGACAATTAGT